TGCCACCAGTGAGGAAGAAAGAATGAAAGATAAGGAGGAAATGGAGTCTTTTCCAGACTAATTCCAGTTAAACCTCTTTCTTTTGTGAACTGCCCAGTCTTGGGTATGTCTTTATCAGCAGTGTGAAAATGGACTAACACACTAGCACACAGCATAGCCCATGAACATTCAATGGCAAATTCTTCATTTGTGACCTGTTTGTTCTTTCTGAAAGCATTTATCCTTGATGTTCTGAAATTTCACAAGGGTATTTTTAGATGTGCTGTTTTTGATTCACCCAGTTGGCCTTTTCAATTTAAAAAGTCTTATCTTTCTTTAGGTTAGGAAAAGTTTGTTCTATTATCTCTTGGGCATTTTCTCCCCTCCATTTTTCTATTCTCTTTCTAGAACTGTTAGTTGGATGGTGGACTACTTGAATTGATTCCCTATGTCTGTCTGTCTTTTGTGTTTTTCCGTAGTTTCATCTATCTTTTTCTCTTCCATCTTTTGAGAGATTTTCCTAACTTTGTTGTCCATTCTTCCTATTGGATAATTGTTATTTCAATAATCGTATTTATTCTTTCTAGGAGCTACTTTTGTTCTGATTGTTTCTTTCTCATAGTTTCATATTTTTGTGCAACATTGTCTTGAATCATTCTGCAGATACCAGTTAGATTTTTGTCTTGTTTTAAATTCCTCGTGTTTGTGTATCTTGGTTTTCTCTTTGATTCTGCAGGATTTTCTCAGATGTCTATGAGCCTTGGTTGTCCATTCACATTTGAGAATGGAGTTTGGGCTAGATGACTGGTAACTTTGTATATAAGAGAAGGGCTTTGTCAACCAAGAAGCTTTCTGGGTAGGTGGAGCTACTCCCAGGCTGGGACCCCTGGGTGCCAGAAAGTGAAAGGCTTCCCTCTGATTCTCACCAGAGGCTCTCTTTATCTTCCTCAGAGAAGAAGCCACTATCCTTTTTCTTCATAGGGATAAATGCATGGCTGCAGGCACATCTGCAGGTGTAGGGGATGAGGGTGTTGGCATCAAAGGAAGGAGCAGGGGCAGAGAGAGTTCAGACATTCAATGACTATCTCATTTCTACTTTCAGTCATGACTCTTGCCCTCCTTCACTCCTGCTACCTCTACATAGGAGCCTTTCAGGAGTCCTGGTACCACCCCGACCTCCATTTCAGTTGCCCACTCCTCCCTCACTAGGTCAAACCTGACCAGGAAATATGAAGAGAAACCCTGGCATTGCAGCAAAATATGCTGTGTCTGACCTCTCAGGCCTGCCCCCTGGCTTCTAAGATTGGTGTTTATTTTCGTGTCACGTAAGCCCAACTCACTGGAGCCAAGGTCATTTTCCCTACACAAAAATAGGAGCCTCAGCCCTGAGAAGCTACTATCATGCCCGAGGGGTCCAAGCCAAAGTTAAGACTATGTCCAATACGTTGCATAAACTCTTGCAGGCAGTTTAGAACAATGGTATTTATTAGCATTTATTATATCAACTACCAACCATATCCTTGTGGGTTTCTCGCATTAAAAAATGAATGTGTTTATAACCTTTTCACTGTCTAGTATCAAAGCTTACCCTCCATCACAGTATTCCTCCAAGAGAAGGGCAGAGAGAGGAGACTCAAAAGGTTTCCCAGGTTAGTTAAGTAGGTCGATGAAAAAAACCAGGACCTTGGGTCCCATGCATCCTCTCCAGTTTCCTGATGATGCTAACGAAGGATTTATCCAGGATTTTTTTTTCCCCCTAATTAGGCTCAGAAATACAGCTCTTCACGAAGCTACTCTGCTTGGCTTTGCAGGAAGAGAGAGCGTCGCCACTTTACTGGGGTATGTCCCCTGGCCTCTGTTGGATACTTTTGAGGGCCACAGGGATCTCCCTAATGGCCTGTGATGATTTTAAGAGAGGCCTTGGTTCCTGAACTGCTGTCCCTGTCCGTGGGGACCACCATCCCACCACAGTTCCCTGGGCACTAAAGGCTTTTCAAAGCACAATGAAAATGTTGCCCCCATTAAACATACTTGGTTGTAGGACTTTAATGCAATGGGAACCAATGGCCAGGGTTAGCAATTGGACATTTTGAAATCACAGGCCTCTTTAAAGGTTTCAGGGTAGAGCCACCTCTGAGAACTGAAGTCACTGTGACCTCTCGAGGACAGGTTTGGGGAGGTGGGAGCAGGAGGGGCCCAGACTGGCCTCAGTGGCAGGGAAGAGTCAAGCTCTTAGGGGCACATGCTCAAGTCCTTCAGTGCACCTCCATTTCTCCATTTCCTTTGCAGATGCAATGCAAGCGTCCGAAAGAAGAATGCAGGGGGCCAGACAGCGTACGACCTGGCTCTGAACACTGGAGATGACCTCATCACCTCACTCTTTGCTGCCAAGTTTGGCCAAGGACTCGAGGACCAACTCGCCCAAACTAGGAGCCTCAGACTGGATGACTGTTAGACCTGAGGCCTCCCCGGGACTTCATTTAAGAATATGTGCGGTGGCTGGCATGGTGGTTCATGCCTGTAATCCCAGTGCTTTGGGAGGCTGAGGCTGGCAGATCACCTGAGGTCAGGAGTTCAAGAGTAGCCTGACCAACATGGAGAAACCCCGTCTCTACTAAAAATACGAAATTCGTCAGGCATGGTGGCGCATGCCTGTAATGCCAGTTACTCGGGAGGCTGAGGCAGGAGAATCACTTGAACCCAGGAGGTGGAGGTTGCGGTGAGCCAAGATTGTGCCATTGCACTCCAGCCTGGGCAACAAGAGCAAAACTCTGTCTCAAAAAAAAAAAAAAAAAAAAAATATGTGCAGTTCTGGCTATTCTTTAATCATGTCTTTTTAAAATGTGTTTTTGAGATTAGAAATTGAGGTTGAGAGGAACTCAGGAGATTTTTTTTAAAAAATCATATGACAGTATAAGCCATCAGTACTAAATGGACAGCTCCCAGTATACTGTGGGCTGTGATCAACTGAATGTATGTTTTTTAATGGTTTCTGGCTGCAGTTTTTTTGTGTATTTGATTTTTAGTTTTTGACTTATTTTTCAATAGGTAATGATTGCACATGGTTCACAGCTGAAAGGTATGAAGTATTATGTAGGGATGTGTCCCTCCCATCCTGTCCCACAGCCACCACCTCCCTCCTCAGCCACCAATGACACCAGAGTCAACTTGCCTTTCCAGGGGTTGTGCAAAGTTAGATATGCACATACATGTGGTATAGCACATGTACATAAAAGTACACATAGAATATAAACGTGTCTGTAGCACATATATATTCTTTCCCCTCTTCTAAAACAAACGGTAGCAAACCAGCCACACACTGTTCTGCATCTTGTTCTTTTTGCCCGATACGTCTTGTAGGTGGCTCCTAATTAGTATGTAAAGATTGACCTTATTTAAACTTTTTAATGTTGAAATCATCAATATTCCCATCATTATGGTTTGTTCTTTGACTGAGAAATCAGCTCTCAATAAACCACTTTGCAGGAATGTGTAATTTTGACTCATTCCTTTCTTCAGGTCATTATTTTAATCTTTGGGTGGTAATGCTGCAGTTGTGAAGTCCCTAACTAGTTTATGTTAATGTAGGTAAATAGAATATGTATTAATTTACCATAATTAATTCAGAACAATAAGGGCCTTGGGGTGGTTACTGTTATCACTACCTGCACTTTACTCCCCCAGACTGGGCGGCTGTCTGTGGGAGGACAGAAGGTGCAAAGTCGTGGGAACACAGGCCCCTGGGCAGGCACTGGCACTGCTCCTGCCCCATCAGCCCCTCAGCCACCAGTGTAAGGGAGGCTGCTGCGTGGTGGCCAGTGTCCAGGGAGACTGGGGAGTGCGATCATCTGGTTTGGGGGTGGTGGTTTGCCCTGTGTCAGCTTGACTGGGACTACTTTGGCCAGAATTTTCTTCCCTATGGTTCTCTTCAGGGTTGGCCCCAAGAAAAACTGCATGACATTCAGAAGATAGAAGAAAAGCAACAGCAGTCATGCTTGGATGGTGGGTAGAGGGCACCAGGTGTCTCTGCCACTCACATCCTGCGTGAAGGAAGGGATAGAAGTGCTTGCCACAACCGAGCAGCAAGCCCTGCCTTTGGGATGGAAGAGGATGGATGTTTATTGGGATCAACACTTGGAAAAAGATGGTACAGAGGGAGAAGTCGAGTGGGGGGTAATGGGGTTCAAGGCCATTTTTCCCAGACCTCAGGGAGCGGGGAGGGCCTCATGGACCCGTGGGTTCTAGAAACAATCGTCTTGGGGTTCTTGGGGGGAACTTTTGTGTCTTGAGTGCAGGAACAATGCTTTTAACACCTCTTGGGTTTTCCACACTCCCTCTTGGAGGATCCTACCTTCTGAAACCAAGAGGCCCTTCCAGTGCCAGCTGGCCAGACTCAGGAATCGGTAAAGCACGCATCTGACGTCTCATTCTGGGGTCCTTTCCTTTCTCTAAAGCTCACAGCCTACACTCATCACCCTTGAATTTCACTCTTTCAGAATCAAACCTCAGTTAAAATAGGACTAAAAACTGAAAAGGTAGCCTAATATTTAACAGTTTCTGATGAAATCCTACAGGGTCACATAAAATGTCCTATTGGTATTAAAGTATATGTTTTCAGGAACATTAAACACATTTTAAGGCAGAACATTTCTGATGTCAAAAATCATGGTTTTTTTTTTGTCCTTTCTAAAGCTTTCTTTTTCTTTTCCTAATGACAGGGCTTATTGAGGGAGCAGAGCCACTTTAAGTGAAACGGAAAAATATTTTTAAATTTTTTTATTTTTTAGAGACAGGGTATCGCTGTGTCACCCAGGCTGGAATGTAATGGTGCGATCATAGCTCACTGTAGCATCAAACTCCTGGGCTCAAGCGATACTCTCGCCTCAGCCTCTGGAGTATCTGGGATTATAGACACACACCACTGTACTCAGCTAATTTATTTTACTAATTTTTTTTTTTTCTGGTAGAGACAGGGTCTCCCTGTGTTGCCTACAAGCTGATCTTGAGCTCCTGGGCTCAGGTAATCCTCCCACCTCAGCCTCCCAAAGTGCTGGGATTACAGGTGTGAGCCACCATGCCCAGCCTGGAACAAGGGATTTATTAAAGAAGTTATACCCTCTGCAGTGCTTGAGCTGATAAGTTTGATAAGTTTGATGGTGGGCCTGAAGTTGCTGTATCTTGGTTACATTCAGGAAGCACAGGTGAGCGTGAAGGGGACGAGCAAGGACAAACTGGAACCCATGGGGACACATCTCCCTCCTCCATCTTCCTGGTCACAGGCAACTTGCAGGAGACGTGCCCTTTCCCATGAAACTTGCCCCAGGCTGGGCTCTGCAGAAGCAGATGCCAAGACAGTTTGGGATGGAAGAGGATGGATGTTTATTGGGATCAACTCTTGTGAAAAGAAGGTGGAGAGGGCAAAGTCAACTGCTATGTGGCCCAACAGTGCCTCAGCCACCAGTGGTGCTCCCATGAGCCAAATTTGCCCATCATGGTGTCCACTGTGCTTTTGTAGCCCCTCTGGCAGACAGGAGCTTCCCCAGAAGGGACGGGACCTCAGGCAAGGCAGCTCTCTGAAGTTGCTGATAGCTGGAGGCCATCTGCTGACACACTCGCTACAGCCAGGGGAGCAAGCCCTACCTGGAAAGGGGATGTGGGTGGTGCATCTCTGCCTGCCATAAAACTGGTGCATAGGTGCTCGACCCAGGTTGTAGGACAGCTGAAGGCAGAGATCAGGGGGAGCAGGTGAAGCCACGGGCCTGGCTGCTGCCCACACCTGCCAGATGAGCCAGGGGTTAGTGACTGTGTCCTCCCTGGGTCTGGTCCTGAGGCCATGTCCTCCCAAGGCCTGGCTGCTCTTCCTGGAGGGGCTGTCTCTGCTTTGCAGGCTTGTCCTATGTTGCCAGTGGGCTTCGGTGGGCTGGCTTGCCATTCCCTCCTTTCCACTGAGGTGAGTTCCCATGCACTCATTGCCCATTTGGGTTTCTTCTATTTTTCTTATTGACTTAGAGAATTTCTTTACATCCTCTTGAATCAGAATATCTTCTAGAGTCCAGACAGCGCTGTCTTTAATAGAAAAACAATCTGAGCCACATACACAATCATAAATTTTCTAGTAGCCATACTTCTAAAAGCACAGAGAAACAAGCAAAATTAATTTTACTGGGATACACTGCAAAAGAAGACATACATGTGGCCAGAAAACATAAAAAAAAAAAAAAAAAAAACAAAGCTCAGTATCACTGATCATTAGAGAAATGCAAATCAAAATCAAAATGAGATACCATCTAACACCAATCAGAATGGCTATTTTTAAAAAGTCAAAAAATAACATGCTGGCGAGATTGTGGAAAAAAGGGAATACTTATACACTTTTGGTGGGAGTGTAAATTAGTTTAACCATTGTGGGAAACAGTGTGGTGATTCTTCAAAGAGCTAAAAATAGAAACACCATTCAATCCAGCAATCTCATTATTGGGTATACACCCAAAGGAAAATAGATCATTCTACCATGAAGACTCATGTATGTGTATGTTCACTGCAGCGCTATTCACAATAGCAAAGACATGGAATCAACCTAAATGCCCATCAATGACAGATTGGATAAAGAAAATGTGGTACATATACACCATGACATACACTATGCAGCCATAAGAAAGAACGAGAGCATGTCTGTTGTGGGAACATGGATGGAGCTAGAGGCCATTATCCTTAGCAAACTAACACAGGTACAGAAAACCAAATATCACATGTTCTCACTTATACATGGGAGCTGGCCGGGCACAGTGGTTCACGCCTGTAATCCCAGCACTTTGGGAGGCCAAGGTAAGTAGATCACCTGAGGTCAGGAGTTGGAGACTAACTTGGCCAACATAGTGAAACTTCGTCTCTACTAAAAATACAAAAGTTAGCTGGGCCTGGTGGTGGGCTACTGTAGTCCCAGCTACTCGGGAGGCTGAGGCAGAATTGCTTGAACCCAGGAGGCAGAGGTTGCAGCGAGTTGAGATCTTGCCATTGCACTCCAGCTTGGGTGACCAGAGTGAAACTCCATGTCCCAAAAACAAACAAAAAACAAACAAACAAAAAAAACAGGGAAGCTAAATGATGAGAACAAATGGACACAAAAAGAGGGACAACACCAGCTGGGTGCGGTGGCTCACACCTGTAATCCCAGCACTTTGGGAGGCCAAGGTGGGTGGATCACAAGGTCAGGAGATCGAGACCATCCTGGCTAACATGGTGAAACCCCATCTCTACTAAAAAATACAAAAAATTAGCTAGGTGTGGTGGTGGGCACTTGTAGTCTCAGCTATTCGGGAGGCTGAGGCAGGAGAATGGCGTGAACCAGGGAAGCAGAGCTTGCAGTGAGCTGAGATTGTGCCACTGCACTCCAGCCTGGGTAACAAAGCGAGACTCCATCTAAAAAAAAAAAAAAGAGGGACGATACCCACTGGGGCCTCTCAGAAGGTAGAGGCTGGGAGGAGGGAGAGGTTCAGAAAAAATAACGATTGGGTACTAGGCTTAGTACCTGGGTAACAAAATAGTCTGCACAATAAACCCCTGCGATATGAGTTTACCTATATAACAAACTCTGAACCGAAAATAAAAGTTTTAAAAATATTTTACTAGAATAAATAGTATTTCAATTTATGATTCATCTAAATTGTTAATACAATAGTCTATATATTTTATGTTATTTTTTCACACCAAGTCATTGAAATCTGGTGTGCATTTTACCCTTACAGCACATCTTAATTCAATTCACCACATTTTAAATGCCCCCTACCTGCACATGGTGGTTGGCTACGGCATAGTTCTAGAAGCTTCTACCTGTGTAATAACACACATCGAGGTCATTGCATTCTGATTCCCGCTAGGATACTAGCAGCACAGATACACTCATCTGAAGCTTGCATCTTTGTGGTTGGTAGGTTTTCCTTGTCTAATCCAGGAAGAGTTCCTCCCCATCACCTGTGCTAGGCCACAACTCCAGGTGCTCTGGTCAAGCTGTCCAGTAGGATAAAGAAAATTTACAGGGTCATTTATTTCTGTTGTCTCCAAGACATCTCTTCAGAGGACCTCAAGAACGTACATCACTTGCTTCTTTTCCAGCTTCAATTTCTGACTGCTTCGGAGCCAGGTTTTTGCTTTTTCCTGGACAAATAGAAAATAAAGAGCATCTCTTGGATTCTCATCCACCTCCCCGCTCTTCAAGTAATTGCAAACCTAGCCTCCCTTTGTGGTTTTCTAAGGGTAGGGCCTTGTGGGAACATAGAACAGACAAGGTAAAGCGACCCATTCTCTGCTCTCCCCTCCTTTTTCATTGTAGATCCCAAAAAGAGAGACAAAAGGCCACATATACCTTTATCCTTCAATGAACAGGAAATGAAGTGTGTTTACCTTCTCAGATGCACACGCGGATGCAGTTAACTGCCGTGTGTTTTTCTGAATGGAAGGAAGAGGGGCCTGGGCCCACAGAGCCACCTGAGAGCCCCTTCTGCGATGGAGAGGAGCCGCTTCTGCTGCTTCTGCCTCTCCTCGCTGCTGCTTCTGGTCCTGCTGCTGGAGGCCAGATCTGGGTGAACTGAGTGCTGGGAATTCAACCCGGAGTCTAGATTTAGACTGCTAAGTATTTCCACAGAGTTCCCGAAATAGAGCAGCACCTGCTTTTGGAAGGCAGAGCATTTGGACATTCCTTGGGAACGCTCCTGAGATGTCTTGGTTCTTACTTGAATTGCCAACAAAAACACGGTTCCATCTCTCACCTCTTCCCTCTCCTTCCCGCATCTCCTTCCCTCTCCCTCAACTGCTTTTCCAACCATTTCCCCCAAATCCTCACCCGACCCCCAAAACTCCCTCCATTACAATCCCTTTCCTTCCCCCAGGCCCTACTTTCCTGTCCACATGGTCTCTTGGCCTTTCTTTCTCTCTTGGGAAATGATGGAAATGCATGGTATTATTTACCTAAATTAATTGACTCAAAATGTCCCTTTCACCCTCAATGAACCCTACTCTTTTAATGAAGTAGTGACATTTTCTGTTTACCTAGACTACATAAATTTTACTTGTTGTATTTTTGTTAGCAAGGATATAAATCTCCTAGCTTTAATAGAACATTGTAATTATAAATATAATACTAGTTTGTGTGTGTGTGTGTGTGTGTTTTTTTGAGACGGAGTCTCGCTGTGACACCCAGGCTGGAGTGCAGTGGCGTGATCTTGGCTCACTGCAAGCTCCGCCTCCTGGGTTCACAGCATTCTCCTGCCTCAGCCTCCTGAGTAGCTGGGACTACAGGTGCCCGCCACCACGCCCAGCTAATTTTTTGTATTTTTAGCAGAGACAGGGTTTCACCGTGTTAGCCAGGCTTGTCTCGATATCCTGACCTCGTGATCCACCCGCCTCGGCTTCCCAAAGTGCTGGGATTACAGGTGTGAGCTACCACGTCCGACCAATACTAGTTATTTTAAAATCTTTATTTTATGCATAAAACTGGAATAAAATTTTATAGTGAAAATTAAGAATAACATTTTGAATATTGTACAAAAAAGGGAAGTCCCATTTCTGTGGCTCTTATCATCCCCAGCAGTAACCACTGTTAGCAGATGTGCAGGCTGGGCGCGGTGGCTCACACCTGTAATCCTAGAACTTTGGGAGGCTGAGGCGGGCAGATTGCATGAGCCCAGGAGTTCAAGACCAGCCTGGGAAACATGTCAAAACCCCGTGTCTAAAATAAAAATAAAAATAAAAAACAGCATATGTGCAGCCTCTGGAAACCTTTATCTTTCTCTGCAATTTAACCCCATACAAAATATATAGTTTCTTAAAGTTTGAATACAATGTAATTATTCTGTAATTGATTTTATTCATTTATACATCTTGGGGACCTTTCCATTATTTGAGAATTGACTTAATTCTTTTTAAGTGTTTTTTTTCTAAATATAAAACATAGACATACACCATTATTGTTTTAACAGATTAACAGAGCTAATCAACATGTGTCAATATTTTGTGAAGATAATATTTTGTGAAGACAGAAGAAAGTAAAATCACTGGGTTTAAGACTGTGCATATTTGGAGTTTTGAAAGATATTGCCAGAATTTCCCTCCTAAGAGTTGACAGTCCCACCAAAGTATACCTTTCTCCACACCACCCCAATTTCGCAGATCAAACACACGTCATTGCCGTTAGTTTGTTTGTTTATTTATTTATTACTTTTTGCCTGTTCCTGATTCTTTTTTTTTTTTTTTTTTGAGACGGAGTCTTGCTCTGTCACCCAGGCTGGAGTGCAGTGGCCGGATCTCAGCTCACTGCAAGCTCCGCCTCCCGGGTTTACGCCATTCTCCTGCCTCAGCCTCCCGAGTAGCTGGGACTATAGGCGCCCGCCACCGCGCCCGGCTAGTTTTTTGTATTTTTAGTAGAGACGGGGTTTCACCGTGTTAGCCAGGATGGTCTCGATCTCCTGACCTCGTGATCCGCCCGCCTCGGCCTCCCAAAGTGCTGGGATTACAGGCTTGAGCCACCGCGCCCGGCCACCTGTTCCTGATTCTTATTAAGACTATCTCTTCCTGGATTAAGCGTTGGTAGGTACTTCATGACTCACTCATTCATGTGGTTTGCCATTTGTTTTTGGATAATTTCTCACAGGATAATTTCTATTGGATAGTTTCTCATTGCTGTAATGTCAGATTTCTTTACATATTCCTTACATATTCTGGATAATACAGGTATCTTGTCTTGCTTGCCTTTTCTTTATGTATTTCTTTTGTCTACTGTCTAATAAATGCTGTATAGATTTGTTTTGTCAAATATATTAGTTTTTTTAGGACTTCTGAGATCTTTGACTTGCTGAAGTTCTTCACTATTCCAAAATCAAAACATTTTCTTCTTATATTGTCTTCTAATATGTAAATACTTGTTTGCTTTATTTAGCTTTTTAGTTTATTTGGCATTTATATTTCTAAATGGTAAATGGACTGAAGTTTACTTTTCCCAAGTGGGCAACCATCCCTTGTGCCAATACAGTTTTGGGGTCACTCATCTTTTCCACACTGGTTGAAAGGCCACCTTTGTTTAGCATACCCTGAAATCTCTTGTGTACAGAGGTCTGGCTTGATTATTGTAAGATGTTCTATAAATATCTTTAAAGTAGTCACTCCTGTTGTCCTGCTTCAAAAAAAATTCTTTCCTATTCATGGATTTTCTCCTCTCCACAAACTAGAATTAGTCTATGAAAACTCTTAAAATTCTTTAGATTTAATTGGGAATATCATGGAATTTAGACATATATTTGAGGGAGAACTGAGACTTTATTAATCAAAAACCATGATAATCTTTCTATTTATTTTTGACTTCTTTTATAGTCTCAGTAAAAATGTTAATTTTCTTCCTGTAAACACTATGTGTTTTTCTGTTCAGTTAACTTTTAGGCTCTTAACATTTTTGTTGTCTTAAATAGTATTTCCCTTAGTGATATTTTCTTTTTTTTTTAATTTTTAACTTACCTTTTTAAATTTAACTTTTAAGTTCGGGGTACATGAGCATGTTTATTGCATAGGTACACTTGTGTCTTGGAGGTTAGCGTACAGATTATTTCATCACCTAGGTATTAAGTCTAGTATTCAACAGTTATTTTTCCTGATCCTCTCTCTCCTCCCATCCTTCACCCTCCAATAGGCCCCAGTGTGTGTTTTTCCCTTCTATGTGTCCATGTGTTCTCATCATTTAGCTCCCACTTATAAGTGAGACATGTGGTATTTGGTTTTCTGTTCCTGCATTATTCTGCTAAGGATAATGGCCTCCAGCTCCATCCATGTCCTGCAAAGGACATGATCTCATACTTTTTTTATGGCTGCATGGTATTCCATTGTATATAGCACATTTTCTTTATCCAGTCTACCATTGATTGGCATTGAGGTTGACTCCATGTCTTTGCTATTGTGAATAGTGCTGCAACAATATATGCATACATGTGTCTTTATAATAGAACGATTTATATTCTTTTGGGTATGTGCCCAGTAATGGGATTGCTGAGTTGAATGGTTTTGTTTGTTTGTTTGTTTGTTTGTTTTTGAGATGGAGTCTTGCTTGGACTGGAATGCAGTAGCACGATCTCAGCTCACTGCAACCTCCGCCGCCTGGGTTCAAGTGATTCTCCTGCCTCAGCCTTCCAAGTAGCTGGAATTACAGGCACGTGCCACCACACCCAGCTAATTTTTGTATTTTTAATACAGACGGAGTTTCACCATGTTGGCCAGGCTGGCCTCGAACTCCTGGCCTCAGGTGATCCACTCACCTTGGCCTCCCAAAGTGCTGGGATTACAGGCGTGAGCCACCGCACCCAGCCTGGTGGTTCTGTTTTTAGGTCCTTGAGGAATTGTAACACTGTCTTCCACAATGGTTGAACTAATTTACACTCCCACCAACAGTGTATAAGCATCACATTTTTTCTGCAACCTTGCCAGCATGTTTTTTTGGTTTTTTTTTTTTTTGACTTTTTAAAAATAGCCATTCTGATTGGTGTTAGATGGTATCTCATTGTGGTTTTGATTTGCATTTCTCTAATGGACATTGATGTTGAGCTTTTTTTCACATGATTGTTGGCCGCATGTATGAAAAGTGTCTGTCCATGTCCTTTGCCCACATGGGGTTGTTTTTTCTTCTTGTAAATTTATTTAAGATTTTTATAGATGCTGGATTTTAGACTTTTGTCAGATGAGTAGTTTGCAAAAATTTACTCCCATTCTGTAGGTTGTCTGTTCACTTTGTTGGTAGTTTCCTTTGCTGTGCAGAAGCACTTTAGTTTAACTAGATCCCATTTGTCAACTTTTTCTTTTGTTGCAATTGCTTTTGATGTCTTCATCATAAAATCTTTGCCTATTCTATGTCCAGAATGGTATTGCCGAGGTTGTCTTCCAGGGTTTTTATAGTTTTGGGTTTTACATTTAAGTTTGTAATCTATCTTGGGTTCATTTTTGTATATGGTGTAAGGAAGGGATCCAATTTCAATCTTCTGCATGTGGCTAGCCCCTTAAGCACTATTTATTGACTAAGGAGTCCTTTCCCCATTGTTTGTTTTTGTTAGCTTTGTCAAACTCAAAACATATCAAGTTTTGACTGTATTTTCTCATGTGGCTCCTTGCTAAAAACTCTTTTTTGGTGCTAACAATTTTCTGAAGTTTCATAATTACTGAGAAAGTAAAAATCAGTCTGGATATTTGTCAAGCTGGGATAACAGACACAGATAAAGCTAGCTGCAAATTTAGAGGAGACAGCTTGTCTTCTGTGAACAAACCACAGCTGTGAAATGCCATTAACAACCCCCTCTTTGAGTGAGTACTGCTTTCTTATTACGGAGGAACTTTGTTCTCGAAAATTATACACTGCCAGGAGCTTTGCTATTTGAAATTAAATCAGTATGAATGAAACATCCCACTCTTGTCTCTTGTCTGGGGGATGGAAGTCACTTTGGCACAGAGAAGCAGCTTCAATTTTCAACCCTCGTGCAGAGCTTCAGAACAGAGGTTTATACACACAACATTTTACATCTCTTTTAACTTTGT